ATAAAAATTTTCACTATGGGACTGGAGAGGTGGCTCAGAGGTTAAGAGCACTGGCTGCTCTTGCAGAGGACTGGGGCTCAATTCCCAGCACCCACATGGTGGCTAACAATCATCTTTAATTCCAGCTCCAGGAGATCCAATACCCTCTTCTGACTTCCTCGGGTACTACACAACACAGGTGCACTTACATACATGCAGGCAATACACTCATACACATAAAATAAAAATAATAAATTTTTAAAATATTTTTTTCACTATGTTAGGAAAAGTAAGCAAAGACTAAAACTGAGGCTGTGAGAGGTTCATGTATTTCTCAAGGCCACAAACTAAGAGAACGCACTAATGAAAAAGGTATATATATACATGTCTAAGAGCAAAAAGAAGAGCACAGTCTGGCATGGTAGAGCATGCCTGTAGTCTCAGAACTTGGGAGGTTGAGGCAGGAAGATTTGAGAGTTCAAGGCCAGCCTAAGTTACAGAAAATTCTAGGCCAGTCTGAGCTATGTAGTAACTGTCTGCCTTATAAAGCCAAAAATAGCCGGGCATAGTGGTGCACACCTGTGGGTCCCCAACACACACCTGTAGTCCCAGCACTCAGGAGGCAGAGGAAGGTGGATTTCTGTGAGTTCAAGGCCAGCCTGGTCTACATAGTGAGTTCCAGGTCAGCTGGGGCTACAGGGAAACCCTGTCTCAAAAAAACAAAAAACAAAAGCCAAAAATAGAAGAAAAAGAGATAGATGGGGGTCACAGACAGACATTTAATGTCCCTCTTCATTCTACCTCTACCAGTTTAAAAGACTAGCTCTAGCCTTAGGCATTTATTCTTGCCTCAAAGAAAGTGTCAGATCACTAAACTCCATTCATTCTAGGACAATCCAAATCAGTGAGGTCCAAGTCCTTTGTCTGAGGCCATGATAACCTAATTCCTTATTCTTTCTACCTAAATTTCTAATATCTCAAGCTAACATCTGGATAAAACATCTCGTCAGTCTAGCATAATATCAGTGAGTCATCCTCTTGGTCTGATTCTAATGCCCAGACCCAAGGCCTTTTATGAATGAATGTTAAAAACAAAGATAAAGGGGCTGGGCTCAGTGGGAAATGGGTAAAGTGCCTGCTATAAAAGCATGAAGATCTGAGTTCAGATCCCCAGAACCCATGAAAAGCCGGGCATGGCAGGGCATGTCTACCACCATAGCACTGGGAAAGGTGGAGACAGATCCCATGGGCTCCCTAGCCAAATGGTCTAGTTGAAGCGGTGATCTTCAGTTAAGTAAAACTGTCTCAAAAATTAAAATTAAAACCATTAAGCAATTCTTATACCGACCTCACATGCCCACATAAAAGTGTATGCACACACAAAAACAGAAGGATTCTCATGGAGGGCATTTCAATGCCACAGTACCTGGCAAAAAAGATGCTCAAAAAGTGTTTGCTGGATGAAAGAAAAATCATGGCTCTCAATGTTATAACCACTTACATGGGCTTGGTTTCACAATTACACTTAGTATGACAAGGATAGGAAACATACAGGTTAGGTTTTAAAGCTGAATACCCGTGACAGGAAACCCTAGAGTCTTCTGTGAAGCAGTAACTAGAAGATGATGTTGGAAATGAAAGGTGGAGTTATTTTAACCAGTGCAGAGAATCATCTACATTTTAATTATTAATGCTGTGCTGGATAATAAAATAGGCCTATCAGCTTCAAAATTCCATCAACATAAACTGCAATGGAGAAAATAAACTAGGCAAAGAATTGACAGGAATTCCATTTCCAAATGACCTAAACGCACTTGGAGCTAAGCTGCTCTTTTCTGTTGTTGCTTCCAAAGGACTGCAGATTATGCACTTGCTGAATTCTGCCTGTCACACATGCCATAACAAGGAAGGCATTCATCACACCATAGTTGCTTCCCCATGTATCTGGTTCTAAACAGCTGCAAATTTTGGAAAGTAGCACTAAATGATGTCTCAGATAAGTGTGTTCACTCATCAGCAAATATTAAAACTGAAGTCTAGACTCTCAAAACTGAGTAATTAAGCTGAAACAAATTAAGTTGAGAAAATAAAGAGGAAAATGTTTGTAAGATTTTAAATTCTGCATGTTAGCAAAATAACTGACCCAATAATCGTCTCCTCAAGAATTTCTAAATACAACTCTTATTCATCATAATATTTGTCTTTATCCATCAAAAAGATGCCACATTACTAATGACTGGTTAATGTAGTCCCTTCAAATGCTGTGTAAGTGAATAAAATGACAAAATGTCTTAAAATTAGCCCAATCTCAAATTTCCATAAAACTATTTAAGAAGTAAAAGCTGCCTCCTAGACCCAAAACTGCAAAGCGTGGGTGAAAAACATTCTGCTAAAAGTAGATGCAGATTATAAAAATGTTCCATAAGAGTTATGGCTTGTTATACAACGATAAATATAAACCGGCTTTTTTTATACCTGCCATTGTTCCTTAGTGACCTTAGAACACACTAACACTTTATTTGCTACCTATTAACTCTTTTTCCATGAGGAAAAATAAAAACCCTAACCCTACGTAAGATGGGGTGGATACCTACTGTCAAGGAGCAACTATTATCCACTACAAGAATTCCACTTACATTGACTTCTAACCTGCTCCAGATGACTACTGCTTGGAAGGACTCTTGCAAGGTATCCGGACACCTTCACCGTCTGTACATATCATCTATGACCATTCTTTCATCTTAAGTAGCAGGCAGATTAATCCCAACCTCCGTAGGAGCAGTTTCATGCTAATTCAGTATCTATGAGTCTTTGATGTTCCAAAGGCTCACATTTTATCTTAGAAGCCTTAAATGGACAGTATCACCATGCAACTTCTAGTTTCTCTAAAAGGAAAATTTCTTTTCAATAATAAACACAATGGCTGTTGAATTCCCAAGATTATGGTGAGGATCAAAGTAGGATTTATCAGAAAGCCTACTCAACTCCAACAGTAAAGGGCTGGGAATACAGCACAGTGTGCAGAGTGCAGGATTCAAGCAGGAAACCCTGGGTTGATTGCCTAGACAAACACACCCAAATCCAACATGAACAGGGATCATTTTTGCTTTCATTTGCCTGCATTAATGGGCATAATATCAACTTCCATCCACATACTGATGTAAAATCAACAGATATTAAATATCTTCAAGGAGCCAGGTATGATGGCACACACATGTAATCCTAGTGCTCCAGAGACTCAGGCAGCGACTGATGAGACTGCAAAGCCTCCCTGGGCTGCACCAAGTACCAAGCCACCCCAGGCTACAGAGACCCTGTCTCAAAAACAAAATTACTAATAAAAAAAAAAAAGAAAGAAAATATTGGGGCTGGAGAGACAGCTCAGCAGTTAAGAACACTGACTGTTCTTGCAGAAGACACGGGTTCGAATCCCAGCACCCACATGAGAGCTAACAACTGTCCCTAACTCCAGTTCCAGGAGATTCAACACCTTCTTCAGTCCTCTGCAGGAATTGCACATGGGTGCGCTTACATACATGCAGGCAAGACACGCATACACATTAAAAAAAAAAAGTTTTGTTTTGTTTTGTTTTGTTTTGTTTTTTTTAAAGAAAAACTCTGAAGAGCATATGGAAAGCAGGAAGTATGGGGGGGGGTTACTATTACAAGGCCAGGGAGGAAGCACTGAGGGTTCCTACCCAAGCTTCCCAAAATCCGTAATTGTAATTACACTTCAGTTTTTAAATGAACTACCTTTTTTTTTTTTTTTTTTGAAGAAACGATGCAAGGATTGATAAACTGGAATTTCTGAAAAGGGTTTAGCACACGAGGTCTGTTTGGGTCTGTTGCCTTTTGAAAGCAAGAAGAAAACCATCATTCACAAATCACCTGTTCAAAATTTTTATATTTTCACATTCAAAAGCACTACCGACAAAATTTTAGTTACCTGCCCAGACAAACAGTCCTCAGATATGTTATTATATCAAGTTACAGCCCAGTCTTACTTAAAAATAATGTTGGATTCATTCAAGATTCCCCCTCTTTACAGAAAGTTCGTTTAAGATCTGCTCTCCCTGGTCATTCTCTAACCAAAAAAATAGCTAACATGCAGATCTCCGACCAAAAGAAGTACAAGAAACTGAATTATCAACACCAGTTGGTTCTCTTTTTTTTCCCCAGCAATTCCGATCACAAACCATCAAACTGAGTTCATCTTCCTGAAAGGCACTAACATCGAATACCTCTTTATCCTAAGAGTTCGATATTTCTAAACCAAAAGTCTTTTAAACAGTACTAACACTGCTTTCGGAAATGAAGTTTAAACATCTGACAATTACATTAAAATTGTTAAAAAGCTGAGATCCAACAACTTTCAGTTCAAATCTGCGAAGATTCCTGGCGTTGATAGAAGGCTGAACTTCCTTTTTCTCGCGGTGGGTCCACCCGGCCCTTCCGCGCGCCAAGGTCGATGCTTAGGGGGGAGCCTATTATGACATCACGTACCCTCTCCCGCAGAGCCCTGACGTCACGGGCACGCGGAGCTACAGAACTATGACTTCATGGCCGACTGGTACCGAACCGCAGCCGACTCGCTGCAGCCCGGCAGCCAGGGATGCATCGGGGCCTCGGTCCTGCCGGGTCCCGCGGAAGGTGGAGGCTAAGCGCTGCTCACCTGCGCTGGGACCGCGAAGGACCAGGGAGGCCCGCGCGGGGCGGACGCGACTCCCACCCGGAGCCGTACACGCGGGCCCGCCGGCCGAGGGGTGCACCCGGGCTCGCTCACGGCCTAGCTTCGGCCGCCCGGCCTCGGACCCCGCGCACGACCTCGGGGCCCGCGGGGCGCTCGGCGCCAGGGCTGTGCGGAGG